TCTGCGGCCTGTGGGATCTTCCCGGACCAGGGCTCGAACCTGTGTCCCCTGCATTGGCAGGCGGATTCTTAACCACTGCGCCACCAGGGAAGCCCAGCAAATCTTATACTGTGAGCATTCAGCACAAGATCTGATGCGCTGTAGTAGTTATTATAATATGTTAGGGTTATGCCCATCCTGCACCCCAGCCCCTTAATACATACAGCCCACATAGCCACACAGCAGGTGTTTCTGAGAACCACAGACACAGTAGAATTCTCTGGTGAGAGAACGTGGACTTTGGGAGGTTCTGTACCCTCCAAACTCAGCCATGCAGGTGCAATTTTTTATCACAGAAGCTTCTCGTTATATTTTACCTGAGGAAATAGCAAAGTTGTTCTCTCTTCTCGTGCCTTTTGTCTCTTATTAGCTTGGTTTCTTTCCAAATCCCCTTGAAAAAAAAATAGCCTGGTTATGTTTTCTGCCAGGAGTTGGAGCCAGCCATGGCTGCCTTTAGGGTTCTGATCTCCTGGAAGAGGCAGAATCAGTCCTTTTCTCAGCTGAGGATGCAGTCGAAGGGTGTCTGGTGCTTTGACTGGACTCCATCAGGAACAGACCGGGAAGAGTGAACTACGGGTTATTAGGAAGATTTAGTCTGGAAGGACTCACATGTTCACCCTGGGCATGGCTTTCTTGCCAGGGATGAAGGATGAGGTGGGGGTGGAGGAGTCTGAAAGGATACTGTGGGTGAGAGTGAAAGGGAAAGAGGAAGCATTAATTCACTGTCCTGGTTCCACATGCCTGGGTTCCTGCTACTGGTGGGAAGAAATTATGTCTTCATTTCTCTGTTTATATAAAATGTCCTCTCTGATCCCCTGACACCATAGTTCCTTTTATTTATTTTTCTAGTTTTACTGAGATATGATTGACACACAGCGCTGTGTAAGCTTGAGGTGTACAGCATAATGACTCAACTTACATACATTGTGAGAAGATTAGCACAATAAGCATAGCTTCTTCCAGTAGGCTAATGAGAGTCCTGCATCCTTCACATATAATAGTCTGACAGGCAGAGAGTCCAGTCAATGAGCCCTTGGAGGAAGCAACTGAGAAAGGAATTTTCTTGGCTCCATTTCTTACTTAACTGGGCGTTAATTAACATCTTTTCCACAGCTGCCCCGTCCATAAGAGAGAGAGAGATCATCCCAGCTCAGCCACGTCCCACAACGTGTGTTCTAGTCCACAGCACATCAACACACAATGTACTTATGCGCCCCGAGGACTGGAATGGCAACAGGGAACTGGTAGTTACTCATTTTGCCCTTGGGTGAATTTGGCCTCTTGCCCCATAAACTTTCTGAACCTCAGTTTTTTAATTTTCACAATGGGGAGGTGGACGCTTCCCTCTTCAAGTGGTTGTTAAGGAGTACAGACAGATAGAGACATAAATAGATAATGAACAGAAGTAGAAATAGAAATCACTTAGCTCAGTGTCTGGTGTTTAGCAGTTGCTCAATTAAAGGAAGCTTTTTATGTCAGTGATTAATATCGTTTTTAGCTCATTTCTGAGTTTTCTCAAAGAGTATCTACCGCTAGTTTCCTCCCAGATCTGAGGGAGCAGAGTAGTTGATGGGGTGACTGTAATTGGCATAACCCTGTGATGGGGGAGGAGGAAGAGGAGAAGGACTGAGCTGTGGGGTTCAGCAAAACTCAGCTGTATCACCGTGCTCTCTGTTGACAACTGAGTGCCACAAGTACTCTACCATACACCATTGTCATTCTTAGTAATACCGCCAGAGTTTTGGGGTGCTTCCTCTGTGCCAGGCACTGTGCCAGGGGTTTGAGTGCACTATTTCCATCCAGCATCATTATGCTAATTTCATAAATGAAAGAACTGAGGCTTAAGAGGTTCAGCAATTTGCCTAATAAATATCCAACAGCTAGTGAGAAGCAGAGATGGGACTGGTACCCAGGGACTGTCTAGCTCAAAAGCCCATGTTCAAACCACTGTGCCCTATAGCCCAAGCAGCCTGGAAACTTGCTCTGAATCAAAGCAGGGAAGGAAGAACTGTGTCCTGATAGCTGTGATGAGTCTGTCCCGTTCCCCACGCCAAGCAAGTTGCTCAGGGAAGAGGGGACCCATGGCGACTCATGCCCCCTTCATCTGAGGATTGCATCTAGAAGACAAGTTCCTAGACCTCGAAAGGGGACTGACAAATGCCCAGGATGTGTTAACACTAGACTCTTCTCTGGAGGTCACACAAACAGAGCAGTCACATTGGTTGGTCGCATTTCCAGTGTTCATCATCGTGTTCCCTAAATCTGTGTGTTCGATCCCTAGTTCCCCAAATGCTTTATGAGAAAGGGTTTCCTGATTGACTGCATTGAACAAGTGAGGTGCACTATATCCCTTGGAAATTCACAATGCTCATAAACATAATAAAGGTTCTGAAAAGTCTGTCAGGAAAAACAAACAAACAAACAAAATAAAACTTGGTTTACTTTCTTTAACCCATTATTTCTCAAACACACTTGGCCATAGAACTCTTTTTTGGAGTGCCACCTATTAGCATTCCAAGGAATTAGTGTTCATGCAACAGCTGGCAAGAACTGGTGTTCATGGAACAGTTTGCATAGTTCAAAGAGCACTGGCTAAGGAGGCAAGAAACCACCATCTTTAGCATTAAAATGTGTATAGATCAATTATCCACTCTGGGCTGTAAAATGAGAATGTCAACCAATATAATCTCTAGGTCTCCTTCTAGCTCAATGACTCTCTGACTATGGCTACATCTGTAGGAGGTGGTGAAAGATTAAAACACGTTCCCAGCGCCTGGGAATTTAAAATCATTCAAAAGAAATACCTGCATGTCAGAGCAGGGCACAGTGCCTGGCGGCACATAAGTGCTCAATAATTTTTTGCTAAATAAATAAGGGGATGTGAGAAAAATGTAAACACATTTAAATGAAACAAAATTGGTATAACTAAAGAATGCATGAGATCATGAGTGACTGAGATGTGGTGGGAATGCTTCCAGGTAAAAATAAATTTTGAGCAGTTTCAAAAGGAAGGGAGGTAATTAACATACATTCAGCACTTACTATGTACCAGATAATATGCATGTGTTATATGAATCTTTGCTGTCCTATGAGGTTTAGAAAAGTTAACTTGTGCAGGATTACACATTTGGTTAACTGGAGATGAAGAGGCTGGAACGAATATATTATCTTGGATGTTCATTATGTATCAGGTACCATGCTAGGTGTTTGACGTGCATTATTTAATTTAATCCTCTAACAGTCCTACAAAGGACATGTAATTATCCCCATTTTGGAGATTAAGATAGCTTGGATTAAGAGAGAATCAGGGAGGGATTAAGCAACTTGGTCAGAGTTACCTAGCTAGTAAGTGTAAGTATGAGGTCGCTAAGAGGACTGTCTGGCCCTGAAAAGCAATATGAACAATATGAATAACAGCTAAGATGTATCACAATCCAGGCAGTGTGCATTCAGAATCTCATTTACTCCTGGGGCAAGGTTGGTTACTTTCTCCAGTTTTCATGTAGGGAAACTAAGGCTTAGAGAGGTTAAGCAAATTGTCCAAGTTGACAAATCTGGTCAAGGGTGGTGCTGGGGTACCTACTCAGAGTTCACTCTTCCTCACTCTGCTACCTCCTTCTTAATGGCATCTGACAAAGGGACCCCTTCTTGATTTACAGTGTAACTCCTGGGGAGGTTTCATTTTTCTCTGCGTTACCTCGGTGCACATACTTGTGAAATAGCTGTCATGACCTCCCCAAAGAGAGTATATGAGTGCATCCAAAATATTGGACCCCACCTGGCCAGAAGGAGGTGTGAATGGTACCACATACCATTGCCCTGGGAAGCCCTTCCAGAGGAGCTCTGTCATTGAGGTCGTGAAATGCCCGAGGGAAGGACATTTGTGAGAAGACTCTGCCAGGCATAATGACATCTTCTGGGAAGGGAATTAACGCTATGACCCCCTCACCAGTCTTCCAGTGAGAAAGCCCCTTTGATTTATAGGCTGGTACTGCCAGGTAGTATTAGTGTAGGCGTAAGAAGTAGACGGGGGGAAATGTGTGCTCTTTTGTGCGTAATGTGTAAATATCTGTGTCAGAGAGTGATCAGAATGATGTGCAGGATGGAGAGGAAAGTGGAAAATATAAGTGGAAAATGGGGGTTTTAAAGCAGATCTTGTTAGCTGGGTCTCTGGAAGACGGCAATGAAGAAGGATTTGCCATTTCACTTTTTTGTGGGTTAAGTCTTGCTGCTCCTTTGGTGCTTTTCCTTCTTCACAGCCTTCCTGGAAGATGGGGCGGCTTTAGAAGTGGTTCCGGTGAGAATGGAGTGTTAACCTGTAAATTGGCTAATTATGTTTTCTTCCTGAGCTCAGGTGAGCTCCCTGAGACACGGGTGCCCTGCGCAAGAGTGAATGAAAGAGACTGACACTGTCCCTCTGGGGCCCCTCCACACCCAGACAGTTCTTTTTAAGGTACGGAAACGTGAATGCCCTGACAATCGCATTAACTAAAGGTCTCCACTTCCCTCGCCAGCTGTGTGACCCTGAGCCAGTCAATGCACCTCTCTGAGCTTCAGTTTTCTCAGCTGCAAAATGAGGGCTTTGAACCCGATGACTCGTCAGGTCCTGTCCTGCTTTGCAGTACCCAGATTCCCACACCATCCATCCAGATTCCGCCCCATTCTGGAGACCCTGCAGGTCACCTGTGGACTCGTGCAAATCTCTGCCATTCGCCTTCCTCACATGCCTGCTCGTAGCTTTGCGTGGAACGCGGCGATCTGGCTTTCAAACGGGCTAACGTCTCCTCCCAGCCACGGGGAGCTGCACTTCTGGGCTTGGTTTCCGCACTAAATTTGATGGTCTGGTTTTAAAGGAACTGTCTGGTCGCGTGTCCCCGAGTTACACTGCAGTGCTAAATGTTGGAGAGAGGCAACACCGGGAAAATCCAGGCAGGCGGCCGGCTTCACCCGCGGAGGGAGGGGGAGGGGAGGAGGGAGAGACTGAGGGGAGCGGAAACCACGGAGGTAGAGTCGGGGACGACTCGGAGAGCGGCGCAGAAGCGCCGGGAGCGGGCAAATATATATTTATAGAAAGCGGGAAGGCGACGCCGCGACACGTAGACGCCGAGCCAGCGGGAGCCTCGCGGCCCGCGGAGGGGGAGGGGGTTCCTCTTCCTCCGCCGGCGCCCCCGCCCCCCCGCGCAGACGGCCGCCCGCCCGGGTGCCCCGCGGCCCCAGCCCAGCCGGGCTCCGCGTCCTCGGGCTCCGCGCCCCTCCCCTTCCTCCCCCAGGTGGCACTGGCTCTCCTGTCCGCAGAGCCAGGCTCCCGGGGAGACGTGCTGAGCGGTCGCTGGCAGCCCAGAGTGCCTTGGACGCCGCCGACCGACGCGCCCGGCCCGCCAGGCCACATGAGTGCCTCTCCCAGCAGAGCCAGGTAAGAACTTCCTGACCTTCCTGAGCCCCACGAGGGGCACACCTGGATGCTGGGGGAGAGGCTGAGGGATCCCCGGGAACCTGGAGGCTGTGGGAACATAGGGTGAGGCGGGGGTGCCGTTCTCGTCTGAATTTTCTTAGAGCGACCTCAAAGTTACCGGAGGGCACAGTAAAGCTATTAACATGGATTGTGGCGCGGCTGTGGTGTCCACGCCTGAGACTTGGTGTCCCCAGGAAACCCCGGGGAGCGACTGCTTCTTCATGAATTTCCAGAGAGAGCTAAGCTGGCTTCATGGTCCATTCAGTTCTGGAGACGTGCTCAGGCGGGTGGTGAGGGCAGGGCTGTGGGCACGCGGTTGTGTCTGCTCCTCTCCAGATTTCTGGCAAAAGTTTAAACTGGGGACACTGGCGTTCCTTGTTCTAGGCAGTGCCTCCCTGACCCCACCTGGCCACCCCCATCAGTCTGTGCCTGTTCCCCTCGCATGGTGAAAGTCCGAGATTTGGAAGAAGAAGTAGACATCATGAGGTTTATCTGCTGGTACCTAATAAGACTAGGGAGAGGTTCTGCTTTTCCTAATTTCCTCGTAGGGTGGAGGTGGAGGTCTAGTAATTGGAGGAATTCCTGCTTTGGACCGAGGGATGCATGGAGTCCCGTTCTAGAAGAAACGGAGTTACTCTTACGCAGTAGATGAAGGGATGAGAAGGTGTGGCCATTGGAATGAGGGTGATGGAGCCCAAACAACTTGTTTGCAACCATCAGCCAGCCTTATGCGTGGAGAAACTTCATTCCCCCCAGAAGTTCCTTAGCAGGTGCCTAGGCTCCGAGGCCTTGTGTGAACCAACAGCTGAGAGCGTACTCCCAGGCTGAGTGCTGGTGGACAGAGCAGCTGGGAGAGGCAGCTCCATCACACACCCAGAGTTGGAGAGGGATAGGTTGGGAGGATTGTGCACATCACATATACTTAGAAGATCCCTAGCTTTATCCAAGGAGGAAAAAAAAAAAAAACTTGTAAAAAAAATAATAAAATGTTTTCATGACAGCAACCGATGTAAAACTCCCACCACTCTGGGTGAGAACGAAGACATTAGTGCAGAGGGCTGAGCTGTCTCCCCTGCCAGTGCCCACGTGGGCACATCACCTTTTGGAGCTACAGAAGGATGGCTTATGGATGAAGAGCCCTCTGCCTGGGGGCTTTTCAGGAGGGAAGTATCTCAGCTGGAGCTGTCCCTTTGAGCTCAGGAAACTAATGTTGGAAACAAGTTGGAAATGCTGCATTTCTGTCCCAGTTTGCCCCTAATCTGATCTCGAGGCTCACTGTGGAACAGGTGCACTCAAAGAAGGGTGTCCACACTGTTTTGATGTGACCCGTTCCCCTCTCTCTTTTTTTTCATTAAACAGAGTTTAGAAGGTTAGAGGGCAGCGTATAGACGTGTATCTCTTGTGTGAGGAGTTCAGTCTTGTGCTCTGGCTGAGGGTAATGTTTATTCTGCCTGTTCAGCGGTGCCTCTGCCTTTGTTTCTTACTTGAAGATCAGGTCTCTTGCCCATACCAGATGTCCCTATCCATGCCACCTTCACTGCTTCTTGCAACTTGAGCTGGCTGCCGTTGATGGTGTATAGTGGGGTCACCAGTGTTTGCCTGAGGCCCCTGCCCTAGACTCATGTACTTTGTAACTTGCTCAGAAGACCTTGTCCTCAACTTGCAACTTGGGCCAAGAGCTCTGCGGGGCATCATTGGTGTTCAGGAGGTCCAGGGTCTCCAGCGGACGTGGGGAAGTTCTGGTTTCCCCTGTCCACACTCAAAGGCTGCTAGGTTTTGGAGATTTGGGGCCAGGCTTTGGTGTGAGTGGTGGAAAGAAACCATTATGAGCAACTGGTCAACACTTAGCCGAACTGGGGCGCTACTATAATACCCTGATGTGCCCTCGTCACCAAATGTGAGTGCCTTATTTGGTTTCTTGCTCAGTTGTTTTCAAGGATGATAGGCCTTGAATGAAATCTCATCTGTATAAGGAGACCACATAATAAAGGGGGTCCCTGCCACCACCTTCCTGGCTGCGATTTTGGACCGTCACAGTCACATGATGTCTTTGCAGTTCAGCTCACTGTTGACTCCCCCATCAGGGCTGTGCGGTCAGACACATCTGTAGTGTGTACATCTATAACTGAAACCACCAGCCCAGGGCTGCAGCTGCCGTCCAGAGGCGTTTCCACTGCTCTGCTTCCACTGTCTGCAGCTTTCACACAGGCGGCACGTCGTTTTCAGCTGTTTGTGGTTTGGGGCTGCTATTTACAATTTTGCTAGGAATTATCACCCATTCCGATTGCCCGGCCAAGAGGGTGCTTTCTTTCTCTTGGGGTGCCTGCTGTGGTTTATACTCTGTTTTAACTTTCATGGTCCTTTAACCCTGATCAGGATCCTTTCTTTCTTCCTCTCCTTTCCCCCTTTTGCACCTGTGGATTGGTACATCGGGAACCACATTTCATTTTCTGCCTAGGCATAATTAGTCTTCAAATTGTACTAAAATCATCATGTCCTTGACTTGGCCCAGAACCCTAACAGGCACAAAGCAGAAACACCACATGTATCTCTGAGATGTCAGGGTTCCATATACCCTTTATGTTGGTGTATACAAGACTCTGGCTTCTAAGGGATGCCCTTGTACCCACTCTGCTTTGTGGATACACATTGCACATCTGCCTATCGAATGAACATGGCCAGTAAAAGGCAGGAGGATGGAAACAGTGTTACAGCAGAGCCGGGTGTTTTAGGAAATGGGATATGCTGTTACGAGGGTCCCCCTGATTTACTGAAGCCTCATTTGGTGTGTGTGAAAATGAAGTTCTTTAGATAGGGGAACACTTGGCATTGGACTCGAGTACAGATCTGGAAGATAGCAGTAAAAATAGGAGTGCTTTTTCAGTGGGTTGACGTTGATGAATCTGTGAGTTAGTGATCCGCTAACCAGCTTTTCTGATAGGCTTTCCCCAGAGCAACTGTGAAGTTCTGTCGTCAGAGAGGAGGTTCCTGGCAATCCACTGTAGCAGAGAAAGATGGCTCCACAGGCGAGGGGCCCGTTCTGGGCACAGAGAAGGAGCTCCACTGCGTTGGTTCCATTAGCCGTCTTAACAGACTTGAAACAGCCTAATCCTTTGGTTTGAAATTAGGTCAAATAGTGGGAGCATTCTGAGACCCCAGTGGGGGTGAACAGAGCAGGAAGCATGTCTCCCCTCTCAGCACCCATGTGGACTCTTCTGGCGCAGCTCTGGAGCCCCTGGTTAAAGAGAAGTTTCCCTTTCTGAGCCGGGATTGTGCTAAGGTTGATGTGGAGGTGGCTACGGGCTTCAGGGGTCAGAACTGGAGAGGGCAACTTGGGCATTTATTTTTAAAAACTTAATAAAATTAAAAACTAATTTGTCCAGAACGCAAGACCGGCGAGGTACCTCCCGCCTGCCCACCTGCCAGGAGCTGCTGAGCTCCGTGAATGATAAACATATTTGTCTAGATGAGGGAGTATGAAAAAAGGCAGCCCCTGAAGCTCGTCTGCCATCTGATCTAACTGACCTCTGAAATTCCACCTTTCTAAACATTTTCAGTGTCTGGGACTTGGGGGAAGGGGTAGGGGATAAAGAGGGGAACAGGGTATAGGAGAGCAATTCCTAGAAAAGTTGATGAGACCCCGGGAGCCTGGCAGCCCGGGGAGGCAAGGGCAGCCCCGGTGAGGGTGTGGAGCATGGGGAGGAGAGCCAGTCCCCGGGAACGAGAAAAAGAAATGACACGTAGAAACGATGAAGGAGGGGCAGGCGAGTGGGGTGACGGAGACAGGAAGCAAGCCAAGTGCGAGGAGAGAGAGGGAACAGATGGAGTAAAGAGGAAAATGTGGAGAAGTGCAAGAAAGGGGGCAAAGGGGGAAAAGAGCAGAATATCGTGAAAGCTGTACCTTGCTTTCAGGTTTCTTCTCTTCCCCTTTTTCCTCCGTCACGGGGAGGAAGCAGGCGACCCAGCAGAACAGCGTGGCTTTTGTGCTGTTGGAGCCTCTTCTCATTGAAGCTGTCAAGCCTCAACCCTTCATGGCAGCTCGTTCTATTTTTACCTTGTGCAGAATTGAAATTAAACAAATGACCTGCGATGGCATTTTCATGCAGATTTTATCCAGCACACCCACACAGCCAGTGCCGGGGTGGCTGAATATTTCGCATAATATTCCCTTTAATCAGATAAGAAGGCATCCTCAGGAGAAGCCTGGGCTTTCAGAAGAGCTGCTTGGAGGAGGGTGGACAGAAGCCAGAAAGGAACCTTGTCCACTGGCTCACTTGGGCTTCTTAGCAGGAGAAATTCCAGTTAACTGAATTCTGGAGGAGCCCAGTGTTGCCCCTCCCATACCTTTTTTTTTTTTTTTTTTTTTTGCACTGGCTTTGATTCCAGCCTTTGTGAGACTTGGTCCAGTTCTCCTTGGAGATCTCATTGATGGCAGAAAAGGGTTCACTTTGGCTGAACTTGCCCTGAGTGGAAGCCTTGCTTAGAATTTGGGTGCTTGCCCTGTCTGTTGGTCAGGTCAGGGAAGCTCGTGTGTACTTTGCTGGTGTGACAGTGCTTAGGTGGCAAGAATAACGATGTTGTACGTCTTGTTCCTGGTTAGAACACAGAGCAGATAATGCTTTGTTGGTTTAGACATAGTTGGTTTACACTTACTTCCTTAAGTCCCGGGGAGGTTGAGTAGCAATTAAATGCACGTCCCTTTGCACATAACCATTCTTTTTTTTTTTTTTTTTTTTTTTGCGTTTTCAGGCCCCTCACTGTTGTGGCCTCTCCCGTTGCGGAGCACAGGCTCCTGACGAGCAGACTCAGCGGCCACGGCTCACGGGCCCAGCCGCTCCGCGGCATGTGGGATCTTCCCAGACCGGGGCACGAACCCGTGTCCCCTGCATTGGGAGGCGGACTCTCAACCACTGCGCCACCAGGGAAGCGCCATAACCATTCTTTTGTAGGAAAAACAACAA